AGACCTATTATCCAAAGATGGATAGAGGCAGAGTTATACCTACGTGTATCGTAGGTGCATTACCAAATCCCAGTAACCTCATTTTTTTATTTGTATCTTGAAGAACTATTATAATTTTAAGGACAAATTACTTAACTACACTCCTTTACTTACTTTAATATCCATTTATCCTTACTTATTTTAAAATTTTCAAAAATCCCTTATTTATCTATGTATCCCGCATGTATCCCGTGCACAACGCTATGTATCCCGCTATGTGGAATGTATCAAACCTAATGTATCCCGTGCACAACGCTATGTATCCCGCTATGTGGAATGTATCAAACCTAACGTATCCCGCAAACATTATTTTTAAGGGATTTTTGGTAAATAGAAAACTAGAAGGGATATGATGTTATTTAGTACTTATAATATGTGGTTCCTATAATATCCATTTAACTATACTCCTTTACTTACCTTAATATCCATTTATCTCTACTTATTTCAAAATTTTCAAAAATCCCTTATTTACCTATGTATCCCGCATGTATCCCTTGCACAACGCTATGTATCCCACTATGTGAAATGTATCAAACACTATGTATCTCGTGCATAACGCTATGTATCCCGTACACAACGCTATGTATCCCGCTATGTGGAATGTATCAAACTTAATGTATCCCGTGCACAACGCTATGTGGAATGTATCAAACTTAATGTATCCCGTGCACAACGCTATGTATCCCGCTATGTGAAATGTATCAAACCTAATGTATCCCGTGCACAACGCTATGTATCCCGCAAACATCAGTTTTAAGGGATTTTTGGTAAATAGAAAACTAGAAGGTATAGGATGTTATTTAGTACCTATAATATGTGGTTCCTATAATTTATAACAATATATTTTTATATATATTTAACTAACGAATGTAACATTTTGATAGTTGGCTAAATATGTAACTTTAGGTAGTACAATATGAAAGCCCAATATCATCATATTGACATCATCACATCAAAAGTTTCAATTTTGATACAGTAATTCAATATTTACCGTATCATGTTCAGACCTAGTAAGGTTGGATCCCATTTTTGACTTATCAAAGTAATCATATAAGTTTTATCAATTTCTTATTACTTTCTGTCACTTTCTTCATTGAAAATATTGTATATATAAAGATGCATAAGGCCTAATTATGTCTCTTTCCAAATATTTTGCCTTTTTTCACAAAATTGCATTTCTTCTTAATCACACATGCAATTTTTGACCCCATTATGATTTAATTCAATCATTCATGATTTCCTATCACTATTATACTTGGAGAATTGCCACAAACACTAAGCTATAAAAAAAAGTCCATAATTCTAGCTTAGAAAGCAACTATTTTCTTTACAATCATGGAATATAAGAAAATATAAGTATTACAAATCCTCTCTTTTTAAGTCGTTTGGATTCACACAAGAAAGACCAAAAACCATGTCATTTCCTTTTTCATTCAACTCTTGTGTCATAGAAAACTATATAAGAAAATAAAATATTTGATTCCCAAATAATATTGTTTTAACAAACTTGAATATCAGACATCTCAAGAAATATTAAGTTCGAGTCTTGTGAGTAGAAAAATTATTTGTAGACAATATTTCCCTTCTAATAAAGAATGCAAATTCAAATTAGGCTAATAGCTATCGAGTAATTAAAAAAAGACTCCAAGAAGTAATCAAAAATTGGTATATTTAAGTGGTATAATCATAATAGCTCCTCCAACTCTTTTTATTATAACATCAAAGTATATCTCAAGAAACAATAAACTAGAGTGGATCATGAGCTTGTTGAATACTTCAAAACCTACTCTAGTTTTTTTTTTTCAGTCTACTATAGCTTATAATTTATACAAAATGTTTCAAGATTCCAATTTCATTTAATTATATTTAAATTGATATTATATTATATAGTATATAATACAAAATAGTATTTCTTTTTATGTTTAAACGGTTTTCAAAATAAAAAGTGAAAACTATCAAAGACTAAACGGACCCTTAATTTTTTCTTAAAAGCTGCTAAACATCATTATTTTTTTATCTTAGAAATCAAAGTAGTAAAACTTGTGCACATTCCCAAGACACAATATTTTAAAAAAAAGTTGTTATACAAAAGCAACACTTGACCAAACAAACAAAATAATCATCTTTTGATCGATCAAAGCTACGGTAAAGTGATAAATATTTATTCATCCTTAATCACAAGTTTCGAATACTTTGAGTCTCTTCGACTACAGAGTCACCTTTGTTAAAAAATGATTTATCTTCAAATAAAACTTTCAGCGTCAATTCAAAATTAATTAGGCTATAATTAAGTATCAAACACCTGCCGAAAACAAAAAATAATAACCTATCTTTTGAAATGTATATATATATAACGCTTATTTTCTCGAGCTCAGAAATTTATACTATAGTACTATATTGCTAGTCCCTATAAGTTGAGAAGATTCCTTTCAATATTAAAGTCTTTTTTTAAAAAATAAAATTTAAAAGAACAGTTAAAGAAATATGAAAAGTAGGAAAAAAGAAGCTAAAAAGGAGGAGTCGGGTCAAACCAGGTTAAGTGGGTGGGTCATGTTATTGTCGTAAATGGGTCCCAAAGATTTGACCCGGAGGTCAAAACAGTAATAAGCTATTTTCTCCGCGTGGTCATCTATAATGATTGAGACTAATCTCTCTATATTTTCCTTTGCCCCCTCTATTTATATATTTTTCCTTTTTAGTCTCAAATTTCAAATTATTTGCTACTTCTTGCCTCTCAAATTTTAAATTTCACTACTTGGGTTGGGATAGACGAGACTATTGCGGGGTCGTTTGGTTCATGAACTACGTCCACCTACGAAATTCACCTTTGACTTTTGTCTAGGCAGGTGTATCACTCATTTCTTTTTTTTCTTGTAATGATTTGAAAAATTCAGACTCGTAAAGGAGAAGGGGCGATGGGGAATCTGGGAAAGTTGGGATGAGCAGATGTCTTCATTTCAAGTAGTTTTTTTTTTTTTGGAAAACTCTATCTTAGGATTAAGTTTGATGTTAAACTTTATGTTTTATTTGATTGAAGTGTAAATTATCCTGGAATGAATTTATAAGTTTAGTCAAATAAGTAGAAATTTAATTTCAAACTCAGTTAAGAGATATCTAAGGATTAAGTTTGAGATTAAAATAATTTATTTAGTTGAAGGTTATAAATTCGATCAAATAAAGTATAAATTTGATTTCAAACTCAATTTGTCTTATTCCATCCAATTTATTTTGCTTCATTCCACTCTTTAGGTAAGATAAATTAGTTGAAGGATTATAATCTCGAGATAACTTGTCTGCGAACTTGTCATTTGCTTTATGGACCAAATTATTCCAAAATTATAATTATTGGATTAATTTATCCAAATGAAACATGAGATATTTTTTTTTAAAAAAAAAACAATTATAATACAATCTTCAAAAAAGTTTGTATTGTATTTAAATCAAAGCACTTTATTACTCAAGGTTGGTAATTAGCTGTAGAAGTAATTTATTGAAAATCATTCAATGACTAAAAAAGAAAGAAATATATTAAGTATAATTTCTTATAGAGTCAAATTTGTAATCAAAATTTTAAATGTCTTCCATCAAACAAAGATATGTTTTCCTTTAATATGATTTTCCCTTTTTTGAGTAAATGAGTACTCTTTTTAAGATTATAAATATGGTCAGAAAAAATAAGTACAAACTTGATGATATTGGACCAGCTCTTTCACTTGACAAATAAATTTTCTTCGGTTTGACTCTTTTGACTAAAGGTAGTATAAAAAGGGAAATATATTAAAGATGATGATTTTACATACCATTTTTCGATTTTTTTTTTAGCATTAATTAAAGATTTGAAATCAAATAAAGGTAGTCGTTTGGCAGCTGGTTTGAAAGTGAGTTATGCTAATATTTAATAAATAATATCATATTTAGTATCTGATTAAGGAGTTGTATAAAATAAAAAATGAAATAACTAATATATGAATAACTAATTTTTGCATAAATAATATATATATATATATATATATATATAATACTCTCTCTGTTTCAATTTAATTGTCTTATTTTGACTTAAAACAGAATTTAAGATGGTACATAAAATTCTTGAATCATGTGATCATAAATTGAAGATATGTAGAATATACTAAAATATCTTTTAATATATTATAGCCTTAAACATGTTACATGAAAAGTCAAATTTAAAAAATTGTTAAAAAAGAAAAGACACATTCTTTTTCAAATAGACTTAAAAGGAAAGTAAACAAACAAATTAAAACGAAGGTGCCACATCTTCATAACTAATCATTGCTTTACTAAAAATTACATACATATCTCTAATTAGCAACCAAATGACTTCTTAAGAATTGTGATGGTTTGATAAGTAGTACTCCCTTTGTTCCTAATTACGTGTTCACTTTTGAATTGACACACTGATTAAGAAAATAATGATTGACATAGTGAATTTACCATTTTACCTCTATTAATTATAAAGTGGATGAACTAAAAACTTAAGATTTTCAAGAAGTTCTATTTTTTTCAAAATTATTAATTAAGGATATAATAGGAAAAAAAAAATTGTTTCTTGATTTGTCAAAATAGACAAGTAATTAGAGACAACTAAAAAGAAAAAATTGACAAGTAATTAGGAACAAAGCGAGTAATATTTGATTATTAATCAAAATTCTCAAATACTATATATGAAACCACATTTATTAGAAATTCGGATACACTTTATTTCTCAACATGAATATTGTGAACTCTAACATGGATATCAAACCCCAAGCAAAACCAATCAAACAAAAGGCAAAGGCAAAGGCAAAGGCAAAGGAAAAGGAAAAGGAAAAGGAAAGGAGGAATTATTAGTACCATAATAAAATCTAACAAATTAAATGGGGGCTGGTGGAAAGGAGAACAATAAATTGGAATAAGTTGGAGGCTGCAAATGCAAGAAAATAATAAATGTACCAATAAATTTCACTCGTTTTTTCAACTTTTTTTTTTCTTACAAAAATTTCCACTTTCTTGCATGTGGACTTCATAGTCTCCACTTCACCTTCCCCTTCCCTTCCTTTTCTTCTACCCCCACCCCCCCTAAACCCCCCACCCCACCCCAAAATCACAAAAGAAGGGAACCCCTTTTGATTCTTGAGTAGTAGTCCACATAAGTTCTTCTCAGATAATCGGTGAGTTTTCAGCTTTCTTGGTGTTTTTTTTTTGGTTAAAAATTAAAAATGGAGTCTTTTTGTAGTTTTAGTTCTGATTTTTGAAGGGGTTTGAGTTTATGACTTTGTTGTTTATGTGAAGTAGTTTTTATGGGGTTTTATCTACTTTTTTTCCATTCTTGGTTGAGATTTCAGTGTAAAAATGGAGTCTTTTTAAGTTATTTCTGCTTTTTTGGGAAGAATTTTCGAGTTATATTCTTCTGCTTGTTTGTATTAAATCCTTTTTAGTTCTTGTTGTATTTTGCTTTGTAATGAAATTTTGAGAAAAGAAAAAGAGCTTGATTTGGGTGCTGTTTGGATGAACTTTTGGTTTAGCAGATAGTGATAGTAAAGTCACAGAATTTATGGAAAAGAAGAGGAAAAAGGGGGGAAAAGATTTTCTTTTTCCTCTGAAAACCAAATTAAAAGGTATAGACTTTAAGATGGGATAATGAAATCTTGGAGTAGAAAGTATAAAAGATTTGCTTTTTATTGCTATAAGCTGTAAAATTTATAAAAGGACAAATAGTGATGTAGTCATCAAAGAAATGGATTTCACATGTTTTCCCTTTAAAAGTTTCAGAAATTTACTAGTTAAAGTTTTTTATAAGCTGTTCTTATATGTTCTTTCTTGTTTGTATTGTTTTTAGCCAGAAGTAAGTTGCTGGTGGATTTGAGTTTGAGATCATTCTTGAATATCCCCTTTGATACTCGAGATGGTTGCTGAATCTTGGTTTCGTAATTTCTGGAAAAATTCGAAAAAACATGAGGGTGGTGGTCATCAAAAGGTGCTAGTTGGTGTTCTAGCATTTGAAGTTGCAAGTTTGATGTCTAAGCTGGTTCATGTATGGCAGTCTCTAAGTGATAAACAAGTGGCTAGATTGAGGGATGAGATAATGAACTCGGTCGGTATAAAGAAGCTTATTTCAGATGATGATTCGTATATTGCAAGATTGATATGTACTGAGTTGGTTGAGAACTTGGGACATGTAGCAATTGCTGTTTCTAGGCTTGCAAAGAAATGTAATGATCCGTTCTTGAAGAGTTTTGAGCAAGCCTTCAATGATTTGCTAAAAGATGGTGCTGATCCATACGGGTGGCAACTATCATGGAGGAAGATGGACAAAAAAATCAAGAAGATGGAACGGTTTATTGTGATTAACGCGAATTTGTATCAAGAAATGGAGAATCTTTCTGATCTTGAACAGACATTGAGGAGATTGAAGGGAAATGATGATGCAGATAGCATTACTTTGGTTGAATACGAGAAGAAGCTTGCGTGGAAGAAGCAGGAGGTGAAGCACCTTAAGGATGTCTCTATTTGGAATAGAACTTATGATTATATTGTCCGTCTTTTGGCGAGATCCTTGTTTTCTATATTTAGTAGGATAGGGCATGTGTTTGGAGTTGATCCGGTCGTGGATGAGAGGGCTAAAGCATCCAGAGATCTAGATTCTGATCAAATCCATCGGAGCCAGTCAGTTGCTTATGCTCAGTCATCTGTTCACCCATCTGAAAGTAGTCTGTCTAGATTTTCCTCGGAACCAGTAGAAAGCATCCTTGCCAAATCTGGACCAATTTCGAGCACAAGGAACATTCACAATTCTTATTCCGGTCCCTTGAAAAGTTCAACATCAACAGCAAGCCCGATTCCTGGAAGGCATTCTTCTGCTGGTTTCTATTCGGGTCCTCTGGGGAGGTCGACAACAAAGTCTGGCCCTCTCCCTCTATTTAATAAATCCGGCATGAAGTGGTGGAAATCCCGTGATCGTTCAGGTAACCTAAATGGAAAAGGCTCAAATTCGAAACATGCTCGACCGACCTCTGGACCGCTTAAAGGCTGCATGATGGTTGGGAATGGTTCTCCTCTAAGTAATTGCCATCTAGATCCACATGGATTTCATTCCGGTTTTCTCAATGCAATGAAAGGAGCTGGTGTAGATGGACTTGCTGATGGCTATTCAACTTGCTCTTATCTAACAAGTTATAATGCGAAAAAAAGGCTGCTAAACGCTCCTCCAGAAACTCTCGGGGCTGCTGCCTTAGCACTGCATTATGCAAATGTCATTATCGTGACTGAGAAACTAGTGGCATCTCCTCACTTGATCGGACATGATGCAAGAGAAGACCTGTACAACATGCTACCGGCTAGTTTAAGAGCAGCCCTCAGGGCGAAATTAAAGCCATTTGCTAAGAGCTTGACGTCATCCGTTTATGACACAGTTCTTGCTGGAGAATGGAATGAAGCAATGCTGGGGATACTAGAATGGCTTGCTCCTCTTGCTCATAACATGATAAGATGGCAATCTGAGCGGAGTTTCGAGCATCAGAACTTCGTTTCTAGAACAAATGTTCTGCTTGTCCAAACCCTTTATTATGCAAATCAAGAAAAGACAGAATCAGCAATCACAGAGCTGCTCATCGGGTTGAACTACATATGGAGGTATGGCAGGGAAGTAAATGCAAAAGCAATAGAGGAATGTGCTAGTGCTAGAATGATGTTTAATGATGATTACTTGGATGACTGACAAACATTTTGATCTTTAGCCAGTGATTTTGGGCTTGAATGTTTTTAAGTTAAGGAACTGTTCCACGACAAAATGCCTCTCTTCTGAAGCAAAGCACGAGTCTTCTCTGCCATGCTTTTCAACTGTTGCTGATTCAAGCTACTCAGATTCCATGAGATTCTTTATTCGTTAAGAGGGTGACGAATACTGCAGGAATGTAACACACTTAAAGCTTCTAAACATTCGTTCAGGTCAGTAAGCCATGACCATTTTCCTATTTTGCCAGCAGAACATGGGGTCTCATTTGATGAATCGTAGTCCACGCTATAAATTCTATATCTTGTTATTTTATTAAATGTATAGAATTAGCTGAGCTTGTTTTTTCTAGATTTGTAAATTTACATAACAAAGGCTTTCTTTTAGCATATAAGATAATGCAAGGTTTGGGTGCAGTTTGTTCTTGATGAACTTCTTGGAGCATCTTTGCATTACTATGAAGCAAGAAACTTGAGAATTAGTAAAGTCACATTTCTGGCCTGTGGTTATTATGATGGTTACGTTGGTACTGATTAGAATGCATCCATATTTTTACTTTTATTATAGTGGTTTTCAGCCATCTTGTGTTCACCTCGATTATTTCATAGAGTAGCTGACACCTCGTACTATCAAGCGGATCATATAACGACAACTTTGTTCACCTACCTAGTTGCATTGAATAACTCAGTAGTTTATCCATCAAATGCTACCTTGTATGAACAAAAGTATCGAATAACTTTGTCCACCTACCTTGTATGAGCAGAAGTATCGAATAACTTTGTCCACTTATCGCATTACTAGCACATGCATGGAATAACTTTTATCAGTTTAACCATCTATACTACCTCATATCAGCAGATAACCTTGTCCACTTACCTCGTTACTAGAGGGAAGAGCCTTGACTTAAGGTTAGGCCGGTCTCATCATTCACGCAATTCCCCTGTGAAAGAAAGAGGTTGATGCACCCAGCTGCCCGAAGTAGAGCTTTCTTTGTCCCACCTTTCCTTACTGACTTTCCTAGTTTAGATAGCCGGTCTCATCATTCACGCAATTCCCCTGTGAAAGAAAGAGGTTGATGCACCAGCTGCTCAAAGTAGAGCTTTCTTTGTCCCACCTTTCCTTACTGACTTTCCTAGTTTAGATAGCGTATTGAGAATCATGTCAAAATACACCAAGACCTGAACCCAGGTTCGGTTCATGATGGAATCCATTGAATGCGTTGGTAAAGCACGAGATTACGGCCGATTTTCAATAAGGGGGTTCAAAATCTGAAAAAATAGACACACGAAGTAACCGAAAGGGGTTCAACATCTACTATTTATACCTAAAAAATTATTTTAACCATGTATAAATTATATAATTTTTCGCCGAAGAGGGTTCGGATGAACCCTTAATTCTAAGGTGGCTCCACCACCCACATGCATTGAATAACTCTATTAGTTTATCCACCAATACTACCTCATATGAGTAGAAGTATAGGTTTTAACTTCCACTTACCTCGTTACTAGCACATATATTGAGTAACTCAGTTTATTCATCAAGTAGGTGCTACCTTATATGACCATAAGTAGTACCAGATTAGCTAAGTTTACCGCCCACCTTTTACTAACATATATATCGAATAACTCTATCAGTTTGTCAATCATGGCTATGTATGAGCATAGTATGAGCTAACTTTGTCCACCTACCTTGTAAATTCTATTAGCTTATCTACCAAAGCTTTTATTGAATAGCTAGTGCCTCGCATCAACAATAGTATCGAATACTTCTAACCATCAACACTATCTAGACTTAAACCAAGCTATGTATCAACGTAAGTATTAAATAATTTTGACCATCAACACTATATGAACTTAAATTAAATAATAGCTAATAACTCGTATCATCAAGCTGTATCAGTTAACTCTGACCATCAAAATGACAAAGAAGCAAGAAAGAATGGTCAAGATTCAATCTTTTTGTTTTTTTGGCTCATTAGCACATTACAAAATGATGTGTCTATATTAAATGTTTTCAACTGTCAATAATTGCTGGCGCCAACTCTTCATACAGCTCTGCAATTGCTTAAAATAGTACTATCCTTTATATTAAAAAAAAAACATTTTTAATACAGAGAATTTGTTTTGCCGACTTTACATTATAGCCGACTTCCACTATATATGAGAAAAATCAAAGTTGAATTACTTAAAATATTATGTGAAAAAGATTAGCAAAATCGAACTATTACTTGCAGGAGATTTTGCTTGGAGAATATTTGTTTTTCCCAAGACTAGTATTAGATATTCTTTATCCGTTTCAATTTGTTTATCTGAGTTTGATTCGGAACAAAGTTAAGAAAGTAAAAAGAATTTTTGAATTTTGATGTCTAAAATTAAAGATATGTCAAATGTATTAAAATGTCATTTAATTTTGTGATTTTAAATATGTCACGTGGAAAGAGACATTTTTTTTTAAAATGGACTAAAAAAGGAAGTATGACAAATGGACTAAAAAAGGAAGTATGACAAATATATTGAAACGGAAAATCTGGAGTGTTAATCTTTATCGATTCAAACTTCATGAATGACTCACGGAGTTCAAATTGATAAATGGTCAAACTTCACAAAAGATTCTAGAAGTTTTTTTTTTGTGTGTTTTAATTAGAGGTATTTTTGTTACTATTTTATTTTCAAATTAATAAGTAGTTAAATACTACTAACAATTGTAGTGGATTGGTTGAGTAGTAAGTACTCTTTCATTCTAAATCAAAAGTCTCGAGTTTAAGTCAACTTTATTAAAAAGTACATTACCTTTAATGTGAGATTTTTTGACACAAATTTAAATTTTAAACGTTGTCTAAAACTTATTAGTGGTCCAAAATTAGCATTTTAAATGTTCAGGTTCCTACAATTAATTTTTCTTTGACTTATTACCACATATTTTTTATGTAGTAGTTGGTGGTCCATTATGGTTAAGTTTAGGAAAAAAATTCAAACTTGATAGACTTTGGTACTATATTAGGTAGGTAAAGAAGAAACCCGGCGCTTTTAAAGTAAAAAAAAATGTAAGACTATTTGTGACGATACTTGATTTTGACTTGGAAATAGACTATAGCCTCATTTCTATTGTAATAATAATAATATCGTTTGTTCAGATATTGTTAAAATATAGTAATATAACATGAAAAATAAAACAAAGAAAATGACCAACAATAGTTGTGGCACACTGGTGGAAAACCTCTATCTTTAACTAGAGATCTCAAATTCGAGCACTGAATATGGAAAAAATCATGTTGAAAACGTCATTTTAACTAGAGGTCTCGAATTTGAGCCCTGAATATGAAGAAAGTCTTGTCGAGGGTGTCACTCCTAAACAATCCCAACAACAACAGATGAATAAGGAGGAAGAAGACGGACATTTTTTTTTGTAAAAAGAATAGGTCGAATCGTCATTTTTAATAGTAAAATTTTATAAATTGAGCTAAAAAGATGATAAGTAAATTTTATGGACTGACGTTTTACATAATTTTACTCACAAAATTATGAAAAAATTATTGATTATAGTGAGATATCATTATAGAGATTGATTATATTGTTATTAATAAATTTGACTCAATCATATTGAAATTTGACTAAATCTAAATTTCAAATTTTAAGATTAATTTCTTGAAGTTACACTCTTAACATAATTTTTTCTATTACTGAGAGTTTTAAACCTAAATTTTTTAATTAAGAACGGAAAGATATTAAGTTAAATGCATACTACTGTTAATTGTGAGTGGTTTACCCATTAAGTAAAAGTTAGCAGCCACACACAAAAAGATATGTTTAGTGACTCAAATTGCATGTGCATTATTAGGTGGTTTGCAATATATAAGTCGTACATATAAATACTTTTCAATAGAGGTGTCAATATCATATGATTTAATTAATTAAGTTGAATAATAACCAAGATTTTGGTAAAAATTTGTAATTTGGCAAGTTTCCTAATTGGTATGCTAATTCATCTCACGTTATCAAGGACCTCATTCATTGTCAATGTTGCCTTTTTTTTTCTCTCTTCAAAATTCCTTTTATTACGAGCAAATGGCTGAACATTTCTTTCTTTCTTCTGATTCTCACGTTATCAAGGACCTCATTTAATGTCAATGTTGCCCTTTTTTTTCTCTTCAAAATTTCTTTTCTTACGAGCAAGTGGCTGAACATTTCTTTCTTTCTTCTGATTTGCACGTTATCAAGGACCTCATTTAATGTCAATATTGCCTTTTTTTCTCTCTTCAAAATTCCTTTTATTATGAGCAAGTGGTTGAACATTTCTTTCTTTCTTCTGATTCTCACGTTATCAAGGACCTCATTTAATGTCAATGTTGCCTTTTTTTTTCTCTTTAAAATTCCTTTTCTTACAAGAAAGTGGCTAAACATTTCTTTCTTTCTTCTGATTCTCACGTTACCAAGTACCTCATTTAATGTCAATGTTGCCTTTTTTTTCTCTCTTCAAAATTCCTTTTCTTACAAGCAAGTGGCTGAACATTTCTTTCTCTCTTCTGATTATTATCTTGTGAAGGTAGAGAGATTATTTCTGAAATATCTTCGACTTGAGTACATCAATTGAAAAAAAAAGAAAAGAAAAAGAAGAAAGCACAACTGTTAATAAAAAAAATTTAGTATAAAATCATTTATAAAAAGAATGAAAACGAACAAGAATATTATTATAAAAAGAAAAGATAATGTTTTAAGACATGGAAGCAGGAAAACATGTCAGTAACGCTTGAGCATAAATCTTGGGTACATCAAGTGTGCAAATCTTCTGTGACGAAGTCTTCGTAACTGCCTTAGAATTTCTTGGCATTATGTGCAAGTCACTATAATGTTGATATGATTGTCTAAAAGTCTCCAAATCTTTGTATGACAATTCGTGACGGAGTCAAGATATTCATGAAGAGATTTAAAATATGAATATGTAATTATGTGAAGTCACAAACTATTCGATTGGGCTTTAACAATTTTAATCTAATGAATAATGTAATTATTCATTGAAGGAAATTCAGATGAGCCTCCTAAATTCCATGGGTTCTGTTCCTGATGACGATGTTAGTTATCCAGATATTTTTGTATTGATGATGTGATATTATAAGGAAAATATAATATGAAATACTCATTTCGTTTAATTTTACTTTTTGTTTTAATTTGTTTCAAATAGGATATATCTCTCCCTTTTTAGTGATTCTTTAATTCCAATCTTCAACCTGACATGTTTAAAATTAGAGATTAAAAGATATTTTGTGTATAAACCTTAACTTTTACTTTATTTTACTGTAGTCACTAAATTATTTATCTGAAGTTAGACTTTGCAAGCTAAACTTTAGATGCATATATGTCTAGAATTTTTGAAGTTATAGATTCACAAATTGAAATTATTTTAAAATAGCTAAA